GGAGGAGGAGGAGGAGGAGGTTGAGGAGGAGGAGGAGGACGAGGAGGAGGAGGACTAGGAGCAGGAGCCGGAGCAGGGGCAGGAATAGGAGCAGGAGGAGGAGGAGGGCGAGCAAAAAGGCCAGAGGTCTCTTGGATGCCTCTCGGAGCCTCTTGGGATATCTCCTTGGGCGCTTCTTGGGAGCCTCTTTGGACGTCCTGGGGGTTTCTTGGCGGTCCTGGAGGGCTCTTGGGCGTCTTGGGTGCCTCGGGGGGCCTCTTGGGGCCGCTTGGGGTCCTTCTCTTGGAGGCCTCTTGGGGCCATCTTGGGGCCATCTTGGAGTCTCTTGGGGCCTCCTGGGCGCCTCTTGGGGCCATCTTGGAGGCCATCGGTCAAACAAGAGGGGCCAATTAGCCCCCCCTCGGGAGCCCCACACATCGCCTCTTGGGGCGCTCTTGGGGCGCTCTTGTAGCGCTCTTGGGCGCTCTTGGGGCCATCTTGGGGCTCTTTCGGGCCTTTCTTGGGGCCCTGTTGGCCCATCTTGGAGCCATCTTGAAGCCTCGGATGGCTATCAGGAGCGTAAAGGCGAGAAAGCAAACAACATCGATTTCCCTCAGGTCATGGCAGGATTTTGGCCTCTTCGGGGCTTCCTCGGAGAGCTCTTTGGCCACTTGGAGCCGTCTTGGAACTTTCTTGGGGCACCTTGGAGCATGTTGGAAGCCATCTTGATGCATCTTGCGCAGTCTTGATCCATCTTGGAGGCCGTCTTGGGCTCTCTGAGGCCCTCTTGGAGCCCTCTTACGTGGGCCATGTTGGACGCCCCGACCGCTCGCGAAACCCTCCGTCCAGGTCCAGCGGAGGGGGTATGGGGAGGGGTCAAGCTACCCACCCGCCTGCAAGCCGTCTAGCTCACTCCCACCCGCCCTCCCAACACATGAGTAGCAGCCGAGCCTGAGCATGTTTAGCGGTCGTCTTTTGATGGGCAGCTACTGGGAACCAAAGCCGACCCCAGGTGCGCGACGCTTGGGCGAGGTGCTCCACGCGTGCCAGGCGCGCCATGCGCGCCAGGCACCCCTGGGGCCCGAGCGTGCCAGGCACGCCTGGTGCGCTAGATGCGCCACGTGCTCCGAGTGCGCCAGGTGTGCCGCACACTCCAGCCGCGCCAGGTGCGCTACGTTCGGGGCACGTGCAGAGTGCGTCAGGTGCGCCTGCGCACGTGACAGCACACATCGGGAAACATGTCGGCCCCCATCATCCTTGTCGAAAACCAATGCCCATCATTGTGTCTAGTGGACCTGCGCACAGCAGGCCGCGCGCCACCACCCCTGCGGTCCCTGTCGAAACCATTTGACAGTGATTGCGGGATGGCCGCGCATGATCCAGATTTTGCCGCGAGGTGCATGTTGTATTATTTTTTGTCGGGGATGGTAGCCCCGCGCAGCAGGGAATATGCTATATGCTGACACCCCCGCCGTCCCTGTCAAAAGCAATACAAAATGTTCGCGGGCCTCACGAACATGATTCAATACTTTGCCCCGGATGTGGGGGGCCGCATCGGGTTGGCCGCGCATGCTCCAAATGTGGAGGCAGAGTGTGGCTTGTATTGTTTTTTGACAGGGACGGTGGGGGGCGGGTCGTCAGGGTGTCCTCATGGTTCCTGGTTGGACGCCAGTCGCCTGGGGGAGGGGGTGTATATTGATAAGGAGCAGTGATAAACCCCTCCCCAAAGGGGAAGAAGGGGGTGGAAGAGAAATCTCCCTGAGCCATCTCCGCCTAGAGGGATGGTGGGATTCTGACGCCTCTTTTGGGCCTCCTGGGAAAGCCTCGAGGCTGTTAGGGGGCCTTCTGGCCGTCTCGTCCCCTCTTGGGCTTCTCTTTGTCCCTCTTCGGACTCTCTTGGGCCGTTTTGGGGCCCTCTTGGGCTGCCTATGTGCCGTCATGGTGCCGTCTTGGGCAGTCTCTGGGCGATCTTGGGGGCCTTTTGGGCGGTCGTGGACGCTGCCCAGACCAAAAAGGCGAATCTGTTTAGCATGTACGTTTGCTCAGGGATTGGGGACGAATCTTGTTTCCTGGGTCCCTCCTTGGGGTCCTCTTGGGACCTTCTTGGGGCGTCTTGGGGGCCTCGTCGGCCATCTTGGGGGTCTGGGGACGCTTGTCTGGGACCGTTGTGGGAAGCTTGGGGGTTTGGGGTGGGAGTCTTTTTGGGACCGTTGTCTGGGACCGTTGTCTGGGACCGTTGATCTTGGGGGTTTGGGGGTTTGGGGGTTTGGGGTGGGGACGCTTTTTCTACTGTCTCGGAAGCCTCTTGGACCGTTTGTGGGGGCGCCTTCGGGCCCTCCGAAGGCCCCCCGAAAGCCAAGCCCCCAATGGGTCTGGGCCGCCCGTGCACAACGTGGGTCTGGAAAGGTGGCCGCCCCGTCGGCCTCGTCCTCCTCCTCCTCCTCAACCTCCTCCTCCTCCTCCTCCTCCTCCTCCATCCTCCTCCTCCCGCCTTCCTCCGCCTCCTCCGCCTCCTCCGCCTCCTCCTCCTCCTCCTCCTCCTCCTCCTCCTCCAGTACCATATCGGCTTAAGTCCCTCGTCGTGGGGCCCGTCCCCGAGGGGCGACGAAAACGACGACGGCGGCGGCGACGTCGACGACGACGCTAACGCTCTGGAGACCTGCTTGGAGGGGGCCACCGCGCGCGGCAGCGAGGTGTGCGCACTAGTCGCACATCTTGCGGCGGAGAGGTGTGCGTATTGTCGCACACTTCGACGCCGGCCACAACGCGGCTTGCCCCCAATCGAGGGGCATCGCGCGGGGCTTGACGTCTCCCTGTCCACAGGGGGGAACACCCCTGGGATCCCACAGGGGGGACGGTGCGAAGGGAAGGGGCTTCCTTTCGACTTGACCAAGACGTTTCTCAATTTCCTTGTGGCTGGCGGTTCCAGACGACGACGACGACGACGACGACGGCGACGGCGACGGCGACGGCGACGGCGACGGCGACGGCGACGACGACGGCGAAAATGGAAACGCCTCTTGCACACGCCGACAGGTCCGCAGACTTCTTCTCCTCCTCATCATCCCTCTCTCCTCCTCATCCCTCTCTCTTTCTCATCCTCTTCATCCTCCCTCGTCCATCCTCTTCGTCCGCCTCCTCCCGCTCGTCGGCATCATCCTCTTCGTCCTTTCGCTGTCATCGCCGTCGTGTGATCGCCATCTGCGTCAACGTATCGTCGTCACTGTCGTCGTCGTTGTTGTCGTCGTCGTCGTCATCTTCGTGCTCGTCTCTGTCTTTCTCTTGTCGTCGTCGGTGTGCCCCCCCCCTGGCAGCTGCTGCTCAACCAGCTCCTGGGCGGCGCCTCCCCGACGGACGTGGGCGCGCCCACGCCGGCCGAGCGGGCCGTGAAGAGCGGCGTGCTCGCGAGGCCCGCGCGCGCGCGGGGGTCAGAGTCAGGGGCAGCGTTGGTGTTGCAGAGTGGTGCCGCACGTGGGGTGCAGTTCGACCGGGTCGTAACAAGGGAAGCATCAGTCGGCGACTACAAAGGGTATGGTTACGCCGGGCTGTGGTTTGCGATCGGCACCATTGGGGCCTGGGGGGCACGACACCCTCCTCGTCGGGCCTCCTCGGGGCGCGGACGGGAGAGCTTTATCGAGGTCCCCGCGCGCCCCCCAGGGTGCCCTCCAGGATGTTCCCCAGGGTGCCTGTTGCAAACCACACCCTTTGCAAACCACACCCTTTGGAGTCGCCGAATCAGCCACGATCACAACATGGGAACACCTGCGTACGCAATATGGACACCAACCGTGTCAACCCGACACGCCAAAAGCGTGCCGCGGCTCTGTGGGGGGCAGCGTTGCGGAGGGGGACGGGCTCCACGAGGGTGACGACGAGGACGCGGGCTATGAGGGGTGACGGCGTGGACGCGGGTGACGACGAGGTCGCGGGTGGCGACGCGGGTGACGACGAGGGTGACCACGAGGGTGACGACGTGGGTGACGACGAGGACGCGAGTGACGACGAGGTCGAGGTCGGGCGTCGAGCGGCAGCCTCGTCAGCTGGCAGACCGTCGGAACTCCGTGCCCCGGCTGCAGAGCGCGCCCCGCGGGGGGGGGGGAGGGTCATGGGGCAACGCCGCGGGGGGGACGGGCTCGGGGGGGAACGCACCGACCCCCAATCGCTCATGCATCGCCGATAGGGACCCGACGGCCCCTCCCCGCCCAGGGAGCGCACGGAGTCGCCACATCTCGCGGGCCTATTGCCAATCTGCCGGCGACGTGTCGCCGACTGCGGGTCGATGCCCCCCTTCCGGATCTCCCGCCAACTTCCCCTCAGGGGGGGCGGCCCGTCCCCGATCAAGTTCCGACAGCTCAGTCAGACCGACCCAAGGACGGTCAAGGCACGTCGATGCAGATTTGATTGTCAGTATCGGGCTGTCCTTTCGCCCCCGCGCAGGCTCCGAAGCCCACCTGGGCTCCGAACCCACCCAGGCTCCGATCCCACCTGGGCTCCGAACCCACCCAGGCTCCGAACCCACCCAGGCTCCAAAACCACCCAGCACCCAGGCTCCGAACCAACCCAGACTCCGAACCCACCCAGACCCAGGCTCTGCGGGGCTCCTGCTGAGCAAGACTGGCTGCTCGCGGTGTGCACGAATTGAGGCGCAGCAAAATGAGTATGGGAGCATGGCCCCAATATGCGTGCCCAACACTTGTGCAAGAAGTCCCAGAGGGAAGACTCTTCGGCAGTCACTGGGGAGCTTTGGTTTGTGCAGTACTATCTGAGGGGGGGCGGCTCCTTCAAGTTTCTCGGGTCTGGAGTATATTCCAACAGCCACTCCTCGTCGAGAGGGGGGGCGCCATAATCGGCTGAAACGGTTTTCTCTGGCCAGGCCGATTTGCGTGCGGCGATAAAGCCCAGGTACCACCTCGGCGTCCTGAGAAAATCGGAGCGGAAAATCCCAGAGTTTTGGGGGCATCGAAGGCCTATTTTGGGCCACTGGGCATACAAAAACAGCCCATGGACCCATGGTGCGAAGTGCTGTTCCAAAGGCGGGGTCGTGAGCTTCTGGGCCCCTCTTATCCAAGAAGTCAGGAAAGAGGGCTGGGTCTTTTTCGCCCTCCCGCTGCCGCAGCCCCTCCTCCCGCTCTTCTCTCTTCTCGCGCGCGCCGGCGAGAGGCCAGAGACACTGGAATTCGCGCAGTGGCTCGCCAACAACGCCAGCCACACGGCAGCCCCCCCCCCCTCCCGAGGGGGATCATACGAGCGCACGCGTACAGCAGCAGTCGAGAACGAACGCTTTATGTCTTTTCTAGCGTGGGTATGTCATGCTCCTTGCGCGCGAGTGGAAGATCTCGATGCCAGACGAGCGCACGATGTTCTCTTCATGCTGTTGCCTTTCAGGCTGAAAGGCACTCGCAGTCACAGCGACATGCTGGACGGTCTTCGGAGATGAAGAGGCTGGAGTGGTTCTGGCGCGACGGCGTGATCGGAGAGGGGGTTCTGCGTCCTGCGATTGTGGCGCGATGAGGGCGGGCACCCTTCTGCCGCGAGTGAGCAGCGCGCAGGCTCCGCGATCCACGTCAGCTGTCGTCGAACCAGCGAGTTGCAGGGCTAGCAGGAGGGACAGAGAGAGAGAGGATTTCGGTGAGTTCCGCCATCCCATAGGGATAAGAAGTTATACCTCGGGCGCCGGCTCTCGGGAGTAATCCCGAGCGATCCGATCGAGTTATTCTCGTCGGGCTCTGGAGACTGGCAGTGTGCACGGCTTGCCCAAGTCCCTGAGCTGGGCCTGACCGACATGGAGACAGGAAACAAGGCGGAGGGAAACTAACCGATCATCTCCATCATTCCCTGGTCGTTTTATCGGTGTCTAGCGAGTCGCGCACCTCGCGAGCCTCCAAAATACCGCTCGCAGAAAATAAATACACGTCCTTGCCACGTGATCACCCCGCATAGAGCCTACCCAGCCACTCTGGCCATGCTCTGCGCAAGGGTTGGGTATATCGTGAGGGTATTCTTTGCACGGCGGCCTCGACGGGAGGGTCGAGGTTCGAGGACTGGCTCTCGGGGGCGGCCACGAGGGGGGTCACGACCCGAGAGGGGTGGATGTCATGGCCAGGAGGCAGGGGACAGGGAGTGGCAGCGGCACGGGAAGAGAGGAGGAGGAGGAGGAGGAGGAGGAGGAGGAGGAGGAGAAGGAGGAGGAGGAGGAGGAGGAGGAGGAGGAGGAGGAGGAGGAGGAGGAGGAGGAGGAGGAGGAGGAGTGAGTGAGTGAGTGAGTGAGTGAGTGAGTGAGTGAGTGAGTGAGTGAGGCGATGCCGAAGGCATGATCATTCTGACCCTTCTGCCCCACCCCTCAGAACAACTCGAAGATATGGTTCCAAACTGCGTTGCCTGGGCACGGTCGAGCTGCAAACGGTCCCGATCCCCTGTTATCCAGAACTGCAATACCACAACGAGGTTGAAGGGAAGGAAGAAAAGGGATTGATGCATTCTGCCACTCCATTGGCCGTGTCAATAAAAAAACGTTGTTGTGAGGTGTTCACAATTATTGACCACAAGCTGTACAAACGATAACACATAATGACCGCGAATACCTTCGAAACCAGCGCCACGTATACACACCACAAACTTGTGAAATGTCTCATGTTCCTCCTCCCCACTGGTGTTCACCTTATTGGCCTTAACGCCACAAGCAGGATGGCCGAAAACACAGAATTGATAGCCACGAAAACCTCCGAAGCCTGTGTCGCGCATGACCTCCGCAAACTTGTGAACAGCCTCATGTTCCTCCACCACGCGATTGACAACTACCCACGAAATTGAAACATAATGCAAAGAAAAACGTAAGCCCCAAGCCGCCAGACAATAATACATACCCTCCCCAAGCGGAGCTGGGAGATGCCGATATTGTAGATGACGGCGCCAGGACTTTAACAAAATTGCCGAGCCTGACTGACTTTCGTCCCACTTCGCCACCGGCTGAACGTCTCGAAAAAGATGAGGTCGTTCCGGTGCCACCCAAGTGCCACGGTGAGGCGGGGACGGGGCTAGGGCGCCGAACTAAAACCCATTACGGAGATTGCTGCGGGGCCTACGCCGCACTTGAGGGAGGAGGAGGAGGAGGAGGAGGAGGAGGGGGAGGAGGAGGAGGAGGAGGAGGAGGAGGAGGAGGAGGAGGAGGAGGAGGAGGACGAGGAGGAGGAGGGAGGAGGAGGAGGAGGAGGAGGAGGGGCGGGGCAGCCACGTCCGCGCCGCAGCCGAGGAGGCAGGCCGACAGACGGACCACGGGGCCGTCCGCGGGCGGCGCCCCAGGGGGGCCACCCAGGCCAGGTGAGGCAGGAGAAGAGGAACGGCGGCGGCAGCATGATGGGCTTGTTTCCCACCACCACCACCACCATAAGTTGAAGGGGGAGGGGGTCCTCCTCCTCCTCCTCCTCCTCCTCCTCCTCCTCCTCCTCCTCCTCCTCCTCTTCGTCCTCCTCCTCCTCCTCCTCCTCCTCCTCCTTCCCCCCTCCAACTTATGGTGGTGGTGGTGGTGGTGGTGGAAAACAGGCTCATCAGCAGCAGGAGCAGTGGAAGCAGATGGGGTGGAGGGGAATGCTGTGGAGGAGTGTCTGTCATGTGCCAGAGGACTGATTGAGTTAGATTCACGCAGGATATTGGAATTGCGCTATGTTGACCGCATGCATCTGCCAGCGCCAGAGGCGCTTTAGGCTGTGCCGAGAGAATGAAAGAAAGCAGAGGGATGGAGAGGGCGAGGGCGGCGACGGAGACGACAGAGCAGAGGAAAACCAACTGGGGAGGAGGGGTCCGACAGCCACCGCTCCGAGAGGGCGACCAGCCTCACCATCCCTGGACTGAGGCAGGTACCTCCTCGACTCTGCGCCCGCGTCCGCTCCAGATGTGGCCGCATGGCTCCGATTCCGTCTCCCGCCCGGCTCCGGCTCCCATCTGCCCGACCCCCGTTCCACCATGCGGAGTGAGTTTCGCCAGCGCCGCTGCTTGGCCTCTCTCTGGGCCCTGGCTCGCCCGCGCTGCCCTCGCAGGGCCGGCCCGTCGGACCCACAGTGTGCGCTCGCTCGCTCGCTTCGAGGGGGCGCCGGGGCGCCGAGGGGCCTTGGGCCCCCCCTCCCCACACACGAACCCCTTGCCAAGCGGGGAACAAGCCAAATTCGGCGTGGTTTGCCCAACCTTTCTGTGTGGAGTTGGGACCTAGATTTGAGCAAGCAGCGCGGCGGATCTCCTCCGTCTTTCTCCTTCTCCCTCTCTTCCTTCTCCCCCTCCTCCTCGTCCTCCTTCTCTTCCTGCACTCTCCCATTTCGGCCAACCGCAAACATGTTTCGGGCCCACAGGGAGCCCCACCTACGGCCCCAGAGGGCGCAGTTCGCATGCCCGCCCCCACGTGCCACGCCCATGCCGGCCCGCCCCTCGCACGCTTCGGGCCCCACAGGGGGCCCCACCTGATCACGGCCCCAGGGGCGCAGTTCGCATGCCCGCCCCCACGTGCCACGCCCATGCCGGCACGCCCCTCGCACGCTTCGGGCCCCACAGGGGGACCGTAGCCATTTTGGCTCAAGCCCACTTTTGCGCAAGTTATTGCTTTGGTTAGCTAAACATCATCCGTTTCGCAGTCCGCGTCCAGTTCCCGCGTGGTCATGCCACGCGCCGTCCTGATTGGTTTCGCGCTCTTGGCTCTCGCCGCCGGCCCCGCGTCCGCCGCCCGCCCTTCTGCGTTCAGCGACGTCGCCCTCGAGGCGGACGAGTCCGAGGCGGCCTCTGAGGGCGTGGGGGCGGATCGCGAGGACGCTGGGCAGAAGGTGGCGCTCGGAGTTCTCGGGCGCGGGCAGGTGGTCAAGCAGCGAGAGGCAGAGGACCAGCTTGGCCCTTGCGTGGACGGTGTGTGCCACACGTGCGCGGAGGTTGAGAAAATGGACCCGGAGGCGTTCGACAAGGATGAGGCACTCTTGGAGACCATTGGCTCTTTGAACGCAGAGATCGCTGGGCAGGCTAATGCGAGCAGGACAGGTGAGGTCGGCAAGTGGGACAAGTTCAAGTCTTGGTGCTGCGACAATACAAGGTCACCCGAATGGACGGATTCATTCTGGGTATTCCGCGTCACGGAGAACGCGTTTGATGCGAGCTATAGATTGAAAAATGCAAACGCAGTGAATTACGCTGGCTTGTTCAAGTTCATTACTGGTGGCGGGGCCATCAGGCCTGGCGGCGGATGGGACGTGGCAGCGTTCCAGATCCAAGTCAACCGCAAGCTTACCTCCGACTACTACCACTGCAACGGAGGCAAAACCGAGTTCAGGTTCGTTGGTCATCACTGGACAGACATTCGGGCTCTCCGCTCGACGTACTACCGAGTTGGGATTGAGCAACCCGCCGCCTCAATTCAGACGTCGAGATGCGGCAGGGCGTCTCCGTGCTATAAGGATTACTGCGTGTCAGAGGTCGTAGCGGAAGACAGGATTCAGCGTTGTCTTCAGGGGCATGTGGATAAAACACAAATGCGCAGTCGTGTTTCTACGCCTTCACGCCAGAGGGCGAGGGCGTTTCGTACACAATCGAGACCATCCGCGTAAGGCAGGTGAGGGACTTGCAGAGTGACTTTGAGGCCTCGGTGGAGGACTGGCTGGCTTGAGCCATTCGCCCTTGAAACCGACAGGCAACTATTCGCATCCGTTTCCAAGGTCGCTTTGCCAATCCGATCTGAGGCATGGCAGTCAAATCTCCATACTATGGTGCTTCATATTGAGCGAGGCCCCAGGCCATCTTGTTCGCGTATCTAATCTTCTGCGCGCAGGCACACGTTGTGGATGTAAGGAAGAAGAAAACGCTTCGGGCCCCACAGGGGGCCCCACCTGATCACGGCCCCAGGGGCGCAGTTCACATGCCCGCCCCCACGTGCCACGCCCATGCCGGCCCGCCCCTCGCACGCTTCGGGCCCCACAGGGGGCCAAACCTGATCATGGCCCCAGGGGCGCAGTTCGCATGCCCGCCCCCACGTGCTACGCCCATGCCGGCACGCCCCTCGCACGCTTCGGGCCCCACAGGAGGCCCCACCTGATCACGGCCCCAGGGGCGCAGTTCGCATGCCCGCCCCCACGTGCCACGCCCATGCCGGCACGCCCCTCGCACGCTTCGGGCCCCACAGGGGGCCCCACCTGATCGCGGCCCCAGGGGCGCAGTTCGCATGCCCGCCCCCACGTGCCACGCCCATGCCGGCACGGCCCCACAGGGGGCCCCACCTGATCGCGGCCCCAGGGGCGCAGTTCGCATGCCCGCCCCCACGTGCCACGCCCATGCCGGCACGCCCCTCGCACGCTTCGGGCCCCACAGGGGGCCCCACCTGATCGCGGCCCCAGGGGCGCAGTTCGCATGCCCGCCCCCACGTGCCACGCCCATGCCGGCACGCCCCTCGCACGCTTCGGGCCCCACAGGGGGCCCCACCTGATGCCACGCCCATGCACGGCACGCCCCTCGCACGCTTCGGGCCCCACAGGGGGCCCCACCTGATCGCGGCCCCAGGGGCGCAGTTCGCATGCCCGCCCCCACGTGCCACGCCCATGCCGGCACGCCCCTCGCACGCTTCGGGCCCCACAGGGGGCCCCACCTGATCGCGGCCCCAGGGGCGCAGTTCGCATGCCCGCCCCCACGTGCCACGCCCATGCCGGCACGCCCCTCGCACGCTTCGGGCCCCACAGGGGGCCCCATTTGATCACGGCCCCAGGGGCGCAGTTCGCATGCCCGCCCCCACGCCCATGCTGGCACACCCCTGGAGGGTCAAGTTCGCATCGCATGCCGGCCCCCTCGGCACACTCCTCACGCGCTGCGTGCCCCACAGAGGGAGCGTCACCCATCCAGCACCGTCGGGTTCGCGTGGGTGGCTAGGCCCAGTTCGCCCCTCCCCCCCCCCCTCGTGCGTGAGCGTGCCCCGCAGGGGGCTCGGTGCGCCTCTACACTGTGCCCAGCGGCGCACAGTGTATGAGAAAAGGGGGGCCCGCAGTGCGCTACTCGCGTCTTCATCCGAAGACGAGGATGATCCTGGCGAAGGACCCAACCACCTGCAGCTGCGAGTATCAAGAGGCAGGTCAGATGAGGGAGGGGAGGGGCAGTAAGAAAGGATTGCGGCGTGGACGAGGAAGAGGAAAACGGACATGGGAACGCCGGGGGATGTTCTGTTTGGCGCGAGCCTCGAGCTTTTTCCTTCTAGCTTTTTCCCTCCTCTCTCTGTTCCCATTGTGCGTTGCGTTCGTTTCCCGCCCAGGCCCCGCAGTTTTGTTTCAATTTCCTTCCAGCGGATGTCCTCTCGCTTTGTCGGCCCTGGTGGCCGCGGCCCTGGGCAGCGCCTCATGAGCCCTGTCATTGGGGCCTTCGGTGGAGCTCCACCTGGGGTCACGGAGCGTGTGAGGGGTGTGCCGAACTGGAGGCGACGCCGCCATGCGAGCCCTGCCGCTGGGGCGATCGGTGGAGCTCCGCATGCGATCGCGAAGCGTGCGAGGGGCGTGCCGACATGGAGGCGGCGACGCCATGCGAACCCTGCATCTGGGGCCTTCGGTGGAGCTCCGCATGGGGCCACGAAACGCGCGAGGGGTTTGCCGAGATGGAGCGGGGCCCCCATGCGAACTCTGCCACTGGGGCCTTCGGTGGAGCTCCCTATGTGGCCATGAAACATGTGAGGGGTGTGCAGATTTGGGGCGGGGCCGCCATTCGAATCCTGCCACTGGGGCCTTCGGTGGAGCTCCCTATGGGGCAACGAAGCGTGTGAGGGGTTTGCCAACATGGAGGCGGGGCGGCATGCGAATTTCGCCACTGGCGCCTTCGGTGGAGCTCCCTGTGGGGCCACAACGACGAGGACATACGGAGAGCAGAGGCAAGGAGAGGAACAAGGGAGGAGGGTAATAAGGAAGGAGTGAGTGGGACGCGAGTTGCTGCCGATTCAAACGAGGACCCAACACCAAATGATCGTTGGAAAAAGAGGAGGGAGGCGGGATAGGAGGAGACGTAGGGCGCTATGGATTCAAAACGAGGAACCAAGACGACAGGATGGTTGGGAAAATCATAATTCGGAGGCCTGCGTACATTCCTTGCATCGGCGCTGAGTCTCCCTCGCGGCGCCTCCGGCGCCGCCCCTGGCGCGCTGACATCCGAAAGTTCCCCAAGCTGTGCCTGCACTCAATGGGGGTCCTGGTCAGGAGCTGGGCCGGTGTGCGGCCCCAGCCGCCTCGTGGCCGTCCCGTCGCCACCCTGTCGCCGCCCGTCGCCGCCCGTCGCCGCCGCCCCTGTGGCCCTGTGTGCCTGTCTGGCCGGCTCGTGGTCGCCCCGTCGCCACCCGCCGCCGCCCGTCGCCGCCGCCTGTCGCCGCAGCCCGTCTGGCCCGGTGTGCCGGTCCAGCCGGCCTGTGCCCGCCCGTCACCGCCCGTCGCCGCCGCATCTGGGTTGCAATCTTGAGAGTGCGAGCCTCGTAGACCGCACCACATCATAGCCAGAGTCCAGTATCCCAGACAGCGTTTTTCGAGCCAAGGTGGCTCCTAGGAGTGTTCGCGCGTTTCCGCGCTGTTGATCCGCCTGCGTCTTCGGGGTCGTCGTCGAGCTTTGCGTGATTGTCGTCGTCGTCCTCCTCCTCCCCGCATCCACGTAAGTGTCCTTCTCGTCCTCGCCCTCCTCCTTCCACTCCTCCTCCTCCTCCTCCTCCTCCTTCTCGTCATCCTCCTCATACTGATCCTTCTGGTCCTCCTCCCCCTCCGCTTCCTCATGGTCCTCCTCTGCCTTCTCCTCCTCCACCTCCTCCTCCTTCCCCTCTCCCTACTCTTCCTGCTTCTCCTCCTCCTCCTCCTCCTCCTTCTCCTCCTCCTCCTGTATCTCCTCATATCACTCCTCCTCGTTCCCTCCTTATACGAAAGTCCTCCTCATGCTCCTGGTGTTATTCGTCCTCGTCAGTTTCTTCTTCTTCTTCTTCTTCCTCCTCCTCTTCATCCTCTACCGTGCCATCGAACTCCTAGTATTTCTCCTCCTGCTCGCTGTGCTCCTCCTTGTATTCCTCGTACTCCTCCTCGTGCTCCTTGTCCTCCTTCGCTTCGCAATGCTTCTCATCCTCCCGTCCTCCGCTGCCTCCTCGCAATGCTCCTCCTCCTCCTCCTCCACCTCCTACCTCCTCTTCTCCGCTTCCTCCGCCATGCCAGGGGTACCTTCGAGCTCTCGATGCCGCTTCCAGGAGGCACCCTCATCAGGGATGCCCTCAAACAGGTGGCGTTTGAGCCTGGTCCCGTTTCCCTCCATTATTCCTCTCGCGCAGCATCTCGGAGCTCTTTCCTCCTCCCTTTCGCCTCCCCCGTCCTGCCTCCTCCCTGCTCGCCGCGCTCTCGCTCGAGGTATCTCCACGAGTTGATCCAGCATGACTGTCCCCTGAGAAGCCCTCGCAATTGACAAAGGAATCGTGCTCGCGTCTCCGCGCCGGCCACCTCCTCCATCGGGCCAGGGGCGCCCAGACTTTTCCCAGAGCGCAATTCGACAACGGACGTGTAATCAAATGGTTCGTTGGGGTCTGACTCCTCCTCGCTTCTCTCTCCTCCCTCTCGGGGGCCCAGAGTTTCCATGATGTTTCGGGCGAAACGGGCCAGACCACCTCTGGCGCGGCATCGCGGAGCTCAGGGTTGCGAGGACGTCTCAAGCGAGACGCGCCAGACCATGTCGCGCGCGTGTTCTGAGTGCCCAGTGTTGCGAGGATGTTTCAAGCGGAACGAGCTGGACATCCCCGCGCACATCTTCAAGGAGCCTGGAGTTGCGAGGATGTCTCAGGCGGAACGGCTGGACCACCTCGCGCGCAGCATCTCGGACCCCCGAATTGAGAGGATGTTCCAGGCGGCGCCCAGACCCCTTGCCAGAGCACAATTCGACAACATATGTGTAATCACATGATTCGTTTGGGTCTGGCCCTTCCTCCGTCTCGGAGCCCAGAGCTTCTAGGATGTCTCAGGCGAAACGGGCCAGGCCACCTCTGGCGTGGCATCTTGGGACCCAGTTGCGAGGATGTCTCAAACAAGACGCGCCAGAGCCCAGAGTTGCAAGGATGTCTCAAGCGAAACGAGCTAGACCACCCCGCGCACATCTTCAAGGAACCAAGAGTCGGAGGATGTCTCAGGCGGAACGGGCTGGACCACCCCGCGCACAGCTTCAAGGAACCCGGAGTTGCGATAATGTCTCAGGTGGAACGGGCAGGACCACCTCACGCGCAGCATTTCGGAATCCGAATTGCGAGGATACCTCCAGCGAAACGGGCCAGATTTTCAGAACCCGCATTTGCAAGGACGTCTCCGGCGAAACGAGCTGGACCACCTCTCGCGCAGAATCTCGGAGCTCTTTCCTCCTCCCTTTCTCCTCCCCCGTCCTGCCTCCTCCTTGCTCAGTTTCGAGGGTGTCTCGGGCGAAACGGCCCAGAACACCTCGGGCGCGGCGTCCCGGAACCCAGGTCTCCGAGAATGTCTCAAGCGAAACGGCCAATCCGGGGCAACTCAGGAAACAGAGTCGTGAGGATGTCTCAAGCGGAACGGCCCAGAATGTTTGATTTTTTTCAGGATGTCTCCGCTCCCTTTTCTCTCGGCGGCCGGAGGCAGCTTCTACCACACAAGCGCACCGTTCAACAAACTGTGTGGGGAATAAGTAGCACCACATATGTTTTCCTCCCTAGAGTATTAGGAGCCCCCCCCCCCGAGTTAACGGGACATTTCCCGCATTTCAATTTACATATGATTTTGCCCGATCGTCCATCCTAAGTATGAACTCGTACCATCCCAGCCAAGCTGAAGTTTCCCCCCTCATTCCTCTCCGACAGATGCAGTACTATGCGCGCGCACTTGTTTATCATAAACCACCATGGTTCAACAGTCCCATACAAAACTGTGACAAAGTACGCTCGCGCGCATGGTACGAAGCGGGCGTTTCGCGCGCGCATGTCGAATTCGCTCGAGCGCCCTTGCACGAGTGCTGTCGCAAGAACCCCTTGCATCAAGTGGGGCGACGTACACACGCGCGCGTTGTTGCGCGCGCGTGCCGAGATCCTTCAAAAACCTCAGGTTTCGCAAGGATTTCAAGTATAGCCGGAGTGCTGTATCCCCAAAACGGGTTTTTAGACCCACTGCGGTTTCCAAGGTCGACTGTGTGCCCGTCCAGTGCGGACTGGGCATGGCATGTTAGAACATGATTACATGATGTTTTGCACATGAGATGCTTGCGCGAAAACTTATGTGACGCATACCTATCAGGAAGCTAACCCTAGAGGGTGTCGTACTCTCTCGCACCTGGTCGACGAGTAAGCTGTCGGGCCGGCACTGTGAGAGGCTCCGCCGCCATGCTGTGAACTCGGAAGCAACTGTAAGAGGAAGCGGGGGAGGGCGCGGAAGCGGGGGGGGCATGTCGTGATTGTTCCCGCGTGGATGATATCGAGAGGTACGCGGCGCACGTCTCAAAAGAAAACTCGTGACGTCGGATGTTTGGGGAGGGCAGAAGGCAGTGCGCGCATGACGGATGCTGAGGCGGCAGGAACGACGACGGCGGGGACGGGGAGGCGGCGGGAAGTGGGAAGAGGGAGGCGGGAAAAGGAATGAGAGAGGTTGTGATTGGAGCCCCTGTGCTACGAAACGTCTTAGGCAGAACAGGCCAGACCATCTCGCGCGCAACATCTTCGAGCCTCGCATTGCGAGGATGGCTCAATCGAAACGGGCCGGACTACCTCGCGAACGACGTCTTGGAACTCAGTATTGGAAGGATGTCTCAAACGAAACGGGCCGGACAACCTCTCGCACACGTTCTGACAAGTCCACGTCGCACTCGCTTCCCGTTAGGTCCTCTCCTGCAACTCTCTTCCTTCTCCCTCCTCCTCCTCCTCCTCCTCCCCCTCCTCCTGCCTGCTCCCTCATCCACATCATCCGCCTTCTCCTTCTCCCTTCCATCTCCTTCTCCTTCTCCTTCTCCTTCTCCTCCTCCTCCTCCTCCTCCTCCTCCACCTCCTCTTCATCCCGAACGGCATCTTGGAGCCTAGAGTTGCGAGGATGTCTCCAGCGTAACGAGGTGGACCACCTCGCGCGCGGCATCTCGGACCCCAAAGTTGCGACGATGTCTCGGGCGAAACGTGCTGCGAAGAAGTCTCAGGCGAAACGGGCTGGACCACCTCGAGCGCGGCGTCTCACAGCTCCGAGTTGCGGGGGCCTCCTGGTGCCTCCTGGGGCCTCCTGGGAACCTCCTGGGGCTTCCTCCTGGGCCTCCTGTGGCCTCCTGAACTCCACCTGGGGCTTCCTGAAGTCTCTTGGGATTTCCAGGGGGGATATCTAACCTGTGGCCGTTTGGGCCCCTCAAAATGGAGGGGGGGGCACAAGAGCAGGAAAAATCAACGAATCGACGCCGGATGTGTATTAATTTGACAGGTTCTGATAGGAGGCCTCCTGGGGCCTCCTGGGGCCTCCTGGGAATCTCCTGGAGACCCCTGGGGCCTGTCTTGGGCGTCCTGCGGCCTCCTGGAGCTCTCTGGGGCCTCCTGGGGCTCCCAGGGTCCCAGGGAGGATATGTAACACGTGGTCTTCTGGGCCCCCAGGCTGGACCACCTCTTGCGCGGCATCTGGGAGCTCAGAGTTGCGAGAATGTCTTGTGCGAAACAGGCCGGACCACCTTGCGCACGGCATCTCAGAGCTCAGAGCTGCGAGGATGTCTCAGGCGAGACGGGCCGGACCACCTCGCGCAGGGCATCTCAGAGCTCAGAAGTTCGAGAATGTCTCAGGCGAAACGGGCCGGACCACCTCTCGCGCGGCATCTCCGAGGTCAGAGTTTCGAGGATGTCTCAGGCGAAACGGGCCAGACCACCTCGCGCAAGGCATCTCAGAGCTCAGAGTTTCGAGGATGTCTCAGGCGAAACGGGCCGGACCACCTCTCGCACGGCACCTCGGGGCTCAGAGTTTCGAGGATGTCTTAAGCGAAACGGCCAGGACCACCTCTCGCGCGGCGTCCCGGAGCGCAACTGTTCGTGGATGTCTCAGGCGAAACGGCCAATCCCGGCCAACTCAGAAACGAGAGTTGTGAGGGTGTCTCAAGCGAAACGACCCGGACCATCAGATTTTTGTGAGGATGTCTCTGCTCCCCTTTCCCTCGGCCGGAGTTAGCTTCTATCACAACAGCACCCCGTTCAGCAAGCTGTTTGGGGAATCAACGAATCGACACCGGATGTGTATCACTTTGACACGTTCTGATAGGGGTCCTCTTGGGGCCTCCTGGGAGCCTCCTGGGAATCTCCTGGGGATCCCTGGGGCCTGTCCTGGGCGTCCTGCCTGCGGCCTCCTGGAGCTCTCTGGGGCCTCCTGGGGCTCCCAGGGTCCCAGGGAGGATATGTAACATGTGGTCTTCTGGGCCCCCAGGCTGGACCACCTCTTGCGCGGCATCTGGGAGCTCAGAGTTGCGAGAATGTCTTGTGCGAAACAGGCCGGACCACCTTGCGCACGGCATCTCAGAGCTCAGAGTTGCGAGGATGTCTCAGGCGAGACGG